CATACAGAGTGAAATCCCACATCAGGATTTGGCATAGGATTGAGTTAGCTCTTTTCACACAAGCACATCACTGGGTGAGCTACCTCCAGTGCATCCACATTCCCTAATTTTTAAAAGAAAATTACATAGTATTGTTTGGGTGGAAGCCTCACCGCAGCCCCTGGCATCCATATACCCAAAGAGTCTGGAATGTTTGTGTTCAGGCTTCAACCAAGCCCCTGGCATCCGTGGAGATAGCCCATGTTGCTTTGGAGGCTCCAGGTCTCCCCAACAGACAGCTCATAGCAAGGTGTCTTACACTGGGTTTTCAATAATCATCTGTGGTTTATGGAAGCTACATTATCTGCCTCTGCAGGATACCTCCCTCAAGTTCTTTTAAAGATTTATAGTTTTTAATTGGCTTTTAAAAATGGTAGGTTTCCAAATGACTTTTCCATATGTCCTTCATTTTGGGTTATCTTTTTCCCCATCTCCTTTTCTCCCATCTCTACTTAGCCCTTTCCACCCCTAGTACTCTGCCTTTCTGCTTAGCTATCATGTATGTCCTATCATCTTTTCTCCCTTAAGGTTTTAAAGACAATATTCTACTTATTTATTGCTTTCTTTTTACCCGTGTGTGTATGTGTGAGAGACGTGTGTGACTGTGTGTGCATGTCTGAGTGTGTGAGTATGAGCAGGCACATCCATGGCACACACAAGGTCAGAGGACATTCTCGGTTTGATCTTCACCTCCCACCTTGTTTGAGACAGGGTCTTGTCACTCACTGCTGTGTACCATAGGCTAGCCGGCCTGTGACTTTCAAGAATTCTTCTATCTCTGCCTCCCATCTCTCTGTAAGATTGCTGGAATGAGAGGAGTGTTCTACCAGCCCCAGCTTTACATTAAGTCCTGAGGATCTGGACCTAGTTTCTCATACTGGTACAGCAAGCGACTGACCCAAAGACATTATTTAAACCAGAAGGTAATAGGTGAATTCTTCAATACCCAGTGCTGGGAAAACAGTCTTGATAACATTAGCTTGTTTTCTCATGTAAGTTCAAAGGAAGTTTCAGATGGATAAAAGATTAATCATAGAAAATGACAGGATCCAAATCCTAGCAAAAACATGGAACTATTTAAATATAGCTTTGAAAAAAGAAAGCCTGTGTATGGCACAAAATAGTGACAAAATGAAAGGTCCTTTGAGCTAGGAAAACATTTTTCACAGCAAAACAGTGCATGATATAGTGATTTTTATCTCCCCTACAAAGTGGTAATTTTCGTCGTAAGATTCCTTCAATCCTGTAAGAACAAATAGAACAGGGACAATTTAAATGAAATGAAGACGTCCACCCCATCTCATCGTAGGAAGAAAACCACAAAATAGATACCAATTTCTATGCGTCAGACTGCCAGAAACAAAAAGACAAAAGCTAATGATGTAGTTTTTTAGGAAAGGAGAATCAGGAACCCCTTCTTTTCCACTGCTGTGGGAGAGTAAAGTGTCATGTGATTCATGGAGAATAATTTAGCCAAATTCTCTACTATTCAAAAGTCTGCATTCATGAATTGATCCTGAAGATCAGATGAGATGACTCAGTGGGTCAAGCTGTGCAAACTTAGTGATTGAGTTTGATCCTTGGGTCCTAAACTCACCAGAGGTGTCCTCCACACAGCTACCATGGTGCTTGTGTACACACACTCACACACATCATGCACACACAGAGACCCAATCATAAACAAAATGAAAACATTGTTTCAATGATTTGATCCTAAATTTAGTCTTGCAAAGGCAAGAATTCACATTTATCCAAAGACAAGTGTCAAAGACACTTTCCATGTCAAATGATTATAAGCCATCCAATTGTCACTCAAGAGAGGACAGGGTAAGTACCTGATACGCTCACATCTTCTAACACTCGGCTTCTGTTAATGTGGTAGTTTTATGTGAACTAATACAGAATGATACTCAGGATATTTATTTACTGGGATTGGAGAGCAAGGTAGAAAAACCATGCTTAATATTTATTTTATTTAAAGAATTATTATTCTGATTTTATATATGGATTTTTGCCTGAATGTGTACACACATGCACATGTGTGCACGTGTGTGTGTGTGTGTGTGTACCTGATACCTGGAGATGCCAAAAGAAGGTGCTAGGTCACCTAGAACTTGAGTTAAGGACAGTTGTAATCTACCATGTGGGTGCTGGGAACTAAACCCAGATCCTCTACAATGCTCTTAAATGCTGAGCCATATATCCAGTCCCAATATTTGGGTTTTTTTTTTTGGTTTTTTTTTTTTTTTTGAGACTAAGTCTCATTGTGTAGCCAGCATAAGGTGGCCTCAAACTCACCACGTAGCTCAAGCTGACCTTCAATCTGGCTTTCTTCCTCCACCTCCTGAGTGCTAGGATTGAAACTGTGTGATCCTGTAGCCAGGTGCTTTGCTTATCTCCGTTTATGTGTGCACAGACTCATTCTTGAAGGATGCACACATCTGGTAACAGTGGTTGACCAGCAACAGCCGAGTGAGTAGGGCTTAGGAAGCTGGATGGAGGAAGGCTTGGCAAGGAGATTTGCGAATAAAACCTTTTTTACAATGTACTATTTTGTATTTGCATATATAGGTTTAGCTACTTAAACAATAACTGAAATAAAATGTACAATATTTCTTTACACTGCATAAATACATGTTGCTGTGATTGGTTTAATAAAGAAGCTAGCTGGCTGATAGTTGGACAAGAGCAGGTTAGATAGGAGAACCAGACTAAGGGCACTAGGAAGAAAAAGGGCGGAGTCAGAGGAGTTGCCAGACAGACACAGAAGAAGCAGCATGGAAAGTACATAGATGAAGTAAACCAGCCTTGGGGCAGCACATAGATGAATAGAAATGGATTAATTTAAAATGTAGGAGTTAATTAGTAATAAGCATGAGCTATTGGCCAGGAATTTATAATTAATATTAAGACTCCGTGTGATTATTTGGGAACCAGCTGGCAGTACAGAAAAACTCCATCTATAGTAAAATCTTTAACTGTCTCTGGAAGAAAAAGAACCAGATAGAATGATCTTTGTTCCCTGAGCACAGACTGTATATCCAGAGGGAGGAAGTGCAAGAATGAAACACCAGAAGAATCTGGAGTTTGTCCTTCTAGGAAGCATGCTCTTGTGGCACTGTGGAATCCCCAGGTGAGACAGTCTAGGCAGTCTTCTATGCCAGCATTTCTACTGTAGCAGAGGGAAGTATCACAGAATAGTGACGATTTACCAAAGAGAGATGAGGAACCCCTGCAGGTATTAAGACAAGAAGACAGGGAGAGCCAGTTTTGGAGCTGGCCCAACCCCAGACATCCCTTCCATCACCACCACCACCACCACCACCATCATCATTATCATCATCATCATCATCATCATCATCATCTTCATCATCAGACATGCCTGGTCCTGCTGCTGCTGGGAGAATTTACCCTACTGTCCGTGCCCTCCCCCAACCCAGATTTCATACAGAGCAGTAGTTGCTGCTGCCTGCCTGCTTCTTCAACCTTCTAGAATCTGGGGTAATGCTTAGAGCTCACAGCAAACCCATCACACTCTCCATCCTTTGGAGATCCACAGACGTTCCTCTTGTCATCCACACACTGTCAGGTGTTCGTGTGGTCCCTACACCCTGGTATGAGAAGTCCGTCCTGGAAGGGTTATTACTATCTCTGGGTCAGATGGTGGGCCTGCTCCCTGAATTCAAAGTCTCACTTCTTAGTTAGCCCCCAAGTCTCGTGGATGATGATAAAAATGTTGGTGGGTGTAATCTTACTCCTCTCTAAGGAACGTCAGTCTGTCTGTCTGTCTTCAAATCACAGCTCCCACAACAGTTCCTTGAGGAAGAACGGATCTCTAGTTTTGAACCAGCAGCAAAATATTTGTGTGCAGATTTATTCTCTAAGTACTTTTCTGTACCTTGCCTTCTGACTTCAGACCTGCAAGGGAAACGTATACAGTGGTCCTCTCTAAAGAGCCAACTACGGATGCAAACAAGAGTGTCTCAATCCTTAACCAATGGATTCTTTCCTTTGGTGTTTGTTGTTTTTATTGAGATGGGGTTTGGCTGTGTTGCCAGGCTGACCTGGAACTCTCCACTCTTCTGAGTCCTGGCATTATAGGCATGCACCACCATGCCTGGTTTTTAATGGATGTTTTACACCATTTCTTTGGGTGTTAAAAAAGGGGGGGGAGCATCAATAACCATGAATGGAAACCTGTTCAGATTTCTTGGGGGGAAATGGGGCAATTCTTTGCTTCCTGAAGACACATCTGCCAAATGAAATATAGTCAAATTACCATGTTTTAATTTCTCTAGGTGTGACATCTTATTTTTACTTTTAGGGACTTGAGCCTCTGATGCGAACTAGTGACCCAGTGGTCTCACTGGTTCACACTCTCATATCCTCTCCCCATCTTGCAGATGAAAAGCTAGCAAACACAGAGGCAAAGACCCACTCTTGTTGAGAGACATGCCACGTGCTAGAACTTAGAACCCTGGCTCCCAACCATAGAGTCTGATCCCTTTACAACGTGCTATGGATTTGTTTGTGATGAGCCTGTTTGCTTTTCTGTAGGTAGGGAAGAAAAACACAGTGGTTCTCCTAAGGAAGTTAAGAAATTAATGCGGTATTTATGGGTAAATTCTCCCTTGAGTGTAGGAGAGAGAGAGACATTTCTTCCATCTATAACTTAACTCCACTAGGAGACTGGGGAATTTGCAATTGGATTGTGCTGTCAGAGCATGAAGAGGTAATTCGTGGATGGTAGGGCTAATTGCCAATCCCAAGGCCGGCTTAAGCACCTTGTGCACTCTGTCCATTTCTTGCAGAGTGAACAAAGATGCCGTTACATTCTTTGAAACTGCAAATGGATGTGGGCAGAGAGGCCATTTCCTGAGTAAATGAACAGGTTCAAAACCCGCAAAACACACATACCTGGAGTAACCCTGGGCTTTTTGCTTGTGTTTGCTTTGAGACAGGTTGATTGACTTATGTGCAGTTTGGGAGCCTGGAGTTTCCTCGCCCTCTGCAGACTGGAGCAGATCCTCCGCCGGTGTTACAAAAAGCAGGCCGAATGAGGCAGAGAAGGTACGCATGAGCTCCCGCCTGAGTATGAGTTGGAGGGTGGAGTAAGAGTAGACATTGTTGCCCCCTCTCCCCAGCTCTTTACCTGACCAGGAATCTTTAAGGACACAGCTCCTTCCTTCTCCCCAGGAGTCTGATGCAGAGCCTGGAGGCTATGCTGGGGCAACCCTGGCTCCTGCTCTAGGAGGGGCAGTTGGCTGGCAGTAGTTGCTGTCATTTTCTCTCCTGTCCACGTTAGTTGAAAAATTGGAAAACAGCTTTGTTAATGACCCTTACCTCTTTGCCTGGGCCCCCACACCCTGGGTACTTCATGAGCGACAGTCCTGGCATATGGGGGGCAGTCTGAGAGCCCCTCCTCTGGGTGGGGATCAAGGCCTTGGCAGATGGATGGCTGTCCAGGGTGCAAAGAGCAAGGAAACTCACAGCACTGCAGCCACGCCCTGTATCCAGGGTCTGCATTGTTCCCTTCTGGAGTAGAGTGTCTTCTGCATTAGCAGCACCTGCCTTCCCCACAGAGGGTAGAGGCTAGCACGCAAGAAGTGAGGGCTTCCCTTTAATCAGGGCAACTGATGGAAGACGACAATCCACTTCCAGGAGGCTGTGGGGGAGAGCAGCCCAGACACCTGCTCAGAGAAAGGTCTTTTCTTTTTGAGTTTGGTCCTCTCTGCCTCGTGTCTTTTTTACCCTAGCCTCCCCAGAGTCTCTGTCTTACCAGAGGCTGAGGAGGCAAAGAAAGAGATGTAAAAGACAGAACACGAAGGTGACATGGTGCAGGGATCCAAGTGGTCTCCAGGAAGACCCCCTTTGGGCAACAGAACTGCCGGCTTAGGGAACCCCTGCGGAAACTCAGCTGACTCTGGGGTCTTTTTCGTCCACCATTGTTAAGAACTGAACTTGAACAATACCACCTTTCCCTTTTCCCCTCTACTACACGTGGAAGACTGACAGCAAAAGCCATGCTGGTTTCTCGGAGTGGGGCGGAACAGGGTATGGGGACAGTTCTCCAAGATTCAGCAGCGCCGAAGACTTAGTTCGGCTTTCAGCCTCCACAGTCCTCTTTGGGCACCTTTCCGGTTGTCATTCCTACTCTCTAACCTACTCTCCTTAGCGTCCCTTCCTGGCCTTCTTGGGTCACAAACACCCTGGAGCCTGGAGCCCCCTATCTGTGAGATCCCTGATCAGAGCATGCTCAGTCCAGCTGTGTCTCAGATGTGTCTGCCTAGTCAGCAGTCCTCAGTCCTGCCTCAGTTTCCCTTCTTTCATCGCATTCGTTAAGTGCACCGTCCAGGACTGGTTTTCTTGCCATGACGTCACACTGCACAGTCAGATGTCATGAAGAGGAAACATCTTTCAAAGACTGACGGACAGAAGCTGAAAGAGTGCAGAGACTGTAGGTGAACAGACACGTGACTGTTGTGAGACCGGGACCCGCTCGGGTGTTTGGCCAGTAGCAATGGCTATCCTTATCACAGTGTATATCGGAGTGCTTCTGCATGTGGGGCCCGTGTTTTGCACACACATGTAGCTTCCATGTTCTCTCGCAGCTGCCCTTTCGAGACAAAAATCCTTAGTACTCCGCTTTCTCTGATGACGAAATTGAAGTCACAGAGATTAAGGACCTGAGACAGTGCCATGCTGCGTCTGGGTCCCCACAGTCTGTCTCTGGGTTCTCAGGGGCTCACTTTAGGTTTGGGGCTAAGGGTGTTTCCAGCTTGGTTTGTCTAGGTTCCTGAGAACACTGCACGGTGATCCTGAGCGGTGTCCTCCGGGTCCCAGATGTGATTCCGACTTGGTGGCTCCAGCTGGGAAGCCTTCTCAGGAAGGAGCCCTGCCCTTCAGGTCTTCTCTGTCTCTTCTCTCTTTGTTCTCAGCCCTCTGCCATCTGGAGCTGCCCCAGGCATCTGCTCCTGAGCTTTGCCCTTTCCCTTCTCCTCCCCTCTCAGCAGGAGGAACCCTTCCTGTACCCAGTGCCCCAACTCATTGTCATCTGGGGTCACTCAGAGCAGACACCTGTCTTCTGACTCACGCAGGGAAACCACCCAGCTTCCCCAGGCCTTCGATTTCACAAATGGATCCATTTGGTTAATTGCACTCCTACCCCTAAGCCCCTCTGCCTGTCAGCCACAGTCAGCCTCCTCACCCCAGGCTGCACAGACACAGAGCATGCTCAGAACGGACCAGGGCTGTGCACTTCATTGGGGACTCTTTGACTTCCCAAAATTGATTCCAGGCTATCAACATTTAGCCACCTTTGCCCATGGGTGCTGAGAGAGACAGGAATAGGTTTCATGTATGGTTGGCAGCAGTGACAGCTGGGGCCTAGGAGCTCCTGTTTCTTCCTTCTTTTAGCAGGAGCGTCATGGTCACATCTAGGCTCCTTTCTCAGCTCATTACAATTTTTCTCCTCTTTTTTTCTTTTAAGCTGGTTTCACCTGTAGTCCGGGCTGGCTTCAACCTCACAGTCTTCTTGCCTCTTCTTCCCACGCGCTGAGATAACAGGCTCACCTGGCTTCCCCTTGGCCCTTTCTGCTAAACCAAGCCCGTCTCACTAACAGAGAGCCTAGAGGCAGTGTGTCCACCCTGAGTTCTGGTTTCTAATAAGACAGCCAGAGATGTGGCAAAGCTTCTCCTCAGTGTCTGGTGGCACACACAGCCTGCTCACAACCAGACTCCTGGCCAAATGGTGCGACTTAACTTGGGAAAAAAATCTCCCCCTCTCGGTTGCCTCCCCCCTTTTTGCAACCCCCTCCCCACCTCCTGTTTTCACATTCTTCCTGTCTGTAGGAGTCTGCTTGCTTGCCGGAATGGCAGTTGGATTCAGACTGCTGTCTGCCTGGGATGTAAATGCAGAAGGCAAAGGGAGGAGGACGGGCAGTTGTAGCTCCCTCCTGCTGGCTCCATCCTTTCCTTCTGTGCCCTGCTTGTCACAGCAGACAGGAATTAAAAAAAAATGCAATGGAATATCATTAGCAAACCCGCTATTGGCTCCGAATGGAGTCCCATCAGAACTGACTCCACTCTGTCTTGATGGCCAACGGATTGGGTCCTGGTGGAAGGAGCTAGAGGGAAGAGGAGTATGGGCTGCTTTGGAGACAGGCGTGTCAGAGCAGGAAGGAGGAGAGCAAAGGTATAGTGGCTAATCTGGGATCCTTCCGGGGCCTCCTGTTCTTGTTGAGTGGACTAGATACTAGTTATGCCGATAGCCTGGTGCTGGTCCTGAGAGTGAATGGTGGCTCCTTGGGCACCAGGCCAGACAGTGTTGGCACAGGCACTGTCTCACTGACAGGTGTGTGAACAGATGTGAGAGCCCAGATTGCCTAAAACCAGGTAGTGAAGTAAGCCAGGCTCAGTTGTGACTTGGCGGGAGGGATAAAAATCTGGCATTTCTTGAAGAGAAGGCATGCTAGCGTTAGATAGAGGCTTGGGTTAGAAGCTCATCGATGGACTTAATAACCATCACAACAGCCCTGCAATAAGTGAGTGTATAGCCCCTCTTCTACAGACAGGGAGACCATGGCTCTGAGAGGAAACAGCAAGCATCTGCCCGGCTGGGATGGGCCAGCAACTCTAAGCCCAGGCCCTTTGTGTGCCATGGAGATCACATATCACTTCTTAACGTTAAATCTCCAAGTCGGGATCTGGCATAGCCCTCTTTTCTGTACGGCTCCTGGCTAGTTATAAGCTCATTTCTGTTCAGTTCTGCACTGACACTTAACTCTGTCATGGGCTGGGGACATCGAAGACATCTCTCTTGCTCACAGAAAGCTCATAATCTGGTACAGAAGTGAAGGTCACCTCTCTTCCCCCACCCCACGTTCTTCTATAATTTTGTCTCTTTTTTTCTCTGCTAGAATCAGCCTGGTTGCCAACTGGCTTTAGAGCAGTGCCTGCCACACTAGGCTTGGATTCACCCCCGTGTCATGAACAGAGGTGTCTGAGGGTGAACCGTGGTCTGGACCTCAAGAGGAAGCCCACTGGGCAAGCCTGAGAATCTACTGTGCAGTGTTGGGAGTGGGGCACTGAGATTTGGAACAGAGAGGGCAAGGGGACTTGCTCAACTGTCTTCCTTTGAGAAAGGGAAAGGAGTGGCTGTCAGAGTCTCCTTCCTTTTATCTCAAAATCTCATGCTCTCTTAGCCTTTTATTTCCAATTTTATAATTTTCTCCTTAACAATCGTTTTTGGTGCCATTAATATACAGTCGATTTAATTCCTTCCAACACTTGAAACTTGATTTCTAAATTTAATCATTTTCCTTTACGAAGTATCACTTTTTTTCTAAAACAAAGCCCTCTAAGTTCTCTTATTAATAACTACTTTTAATAACTTTTAAAAACTGCTTTTAATAACTACCTTAGTGAGATGTAATTCACATACTAGAAATGTATCCATATAACAATACAGCTCAATGATGGTTCATGTACACAGTGTTTTGCTAGGGTCTAGTACTAGACACCTCCCAACCAATGAATTTTTATAATTGTATTCCCAGTACACTCGTCCCTGCAAAGTCATACATTTCATCAGCAGTAGGGCTCTGTCCCCACTCTGTCCCCAACCCTGAGCAGTCACTAGTCTGCTTTCCCATGTCCTTGACTCCATGGTTCTGGAGATTTCATGTATATGGAACCATGTACTAGGTGGCCCTTGTGTCTGGTTACTGAGACTTCTCCAAGCTGCAGTGCATATGCCCTGCGTTCCAGTCACTGGCTGAGTGACAGTCCAGACCGTGCTTTGTTTGCATGACAACCACCTCGTGTGGGAACTCTACACTTCTCTCTATGAGGAGCCCCAAGTCTTCTAATATTAATTCCAGGGATCCCTTTCTTTCTGGTGTTCTACTCCCTGTCTCCACCTTCTATCCCATCTGGGCCCCTCCTTCTTACCAGATGCAACTGTTGAGCCCCGCTTCCCCTTGGGGTCTGTCACACAGGATCATTATCACTGTCTCCCTAGCCTTCCTCCTAGCCACTCCCTTTAATGATGGCGTGCTGGGGAGACAGCT